GGGGGCCAACCTCCCCACCCAGCAAGGTCAGCTACTATCGAAGTGACGAGGAACAAATAAAGAAGATGTGAATATCTAAGATGCATTTCATTAGTGTTCACAATACAGGCAGCGCAACCCCAGGGGGCAACACAGTGGCTACTAACTGTCTTACGGTTTCTTAGACGTTCATCTCTCTCTTATACTAAAGAAATGATGTCCAAGGTTGGCATACAGAACTCGTAAAACTAGCTGTTCCTTAATCTGGTTGATTAAGGGTTGCTACAAATAGATTTTGGGGAGTCGGTAAAATGGAAAATACAGGATCTGTGAATGATGGGCATCAAACTTCATAATGAACACACCTACAAATCTGCCACTCTCTTGGGAAAGCGGACAGCATGACACTGCACGTGTATGAGTTGATGCCACATTTTGATTGAAGCTTCCAAATTTTTAGGAATCAAGCAAACACTAATAAACCTTCTCTCTGGGCTGTGCCATTAGGGGACATGTCTGTCACTGACACACACCTCCTGCGTCCCGCACAGGCCGTATTCTACCCTTGATACAGTTGGTGGCCATGCCTATGTAAAATCTTGTCTGTTTCCCAGTATTAATAAGGGCTGGATATTATTTGGGCTTTGGGGCATTCACTCAGATCTGAAACATGATATGACTGGCAACCAAATGCTCATTTTATGTAGTAAACACACAGGCTTCTCAGAATACAGTCATCATTACGTCTAAAACTCAAATTTTCTTCTGTGCCTAAACTGGAAGTATTTTATAGAAATAGCAATTACTTAGGATTCAACCATTGTGGATTAAAAAAGAAACAAAGAAGAAAGAGGCTCCTATTGAACATCAGGGATCATGAGATTTTTCTTTTTCAGAATGTCATTCACCAAGACTTACCAGAAAAAGCAAACTCCACTAAGTTTGGGGTGTTAAGGTTGGGGTCTTTGAATTTACATTTCCTCTGGTTCTGACAAACCAGACTTTATTTGAGATAGCAATTTAAAACATTAAGTTAGATATTTCCATTAGAAATAGCTAGGCTGCGGCAATAGCTCTGTGGTGTAAGCACCCTCCTGGCAAGTGCAGGGCCCTGACCAGTAGCTGAGTTTCTGTAAAAAAGGCTCATGATTGTGGCTTTAAAGTGGTCCACATCAAGTAAAAGTAACTGTGACCATCAAATTTAGTTGTGGTCTTGATGGGCTTGTAGACAAAGGGATCAGTGAGGTACACATCTGGGTATGTGTGTGGGGTCACGGAAGGGTGGCTGCCTTGGCCCCTTCTATCAGGTACTGTTCCCAGCCCCTGCAGACTAAAGCACTTGACTGGGCCATGTCCTTCTGCCATGATGCTCCTGCCTTGAGCATCACGTGATGGACAGGATTCTCCTTAACCACAAGCTAAATACACCTCTCTTTCCTTTATTTATTTAATGTATCTGGTACTGGGTCTCACTATGCAGGTCAGACTCATAGTGATCCTCTTGTTTTCAGCCTTCCCAGCACTGAGATTACAGGCATGTGCTACCATGTCCAGACTTGGTGGCTGACTCAGTGCGCCCGGGAGTGGGGCCAGTGTGGCACCTGGTGCCTGGGATTGAACCGTGGTTCCTGTGTTTGCCTAAGCAGGCACTTAGTGCACTGAGCTATCTCACCAGCCCCACCTTTCCTTTATTTTTTTTAAACTTTTAAAAATTTTTTATTTTATTGAAAAACAAATAGCAATGAGACAGTTTTAAAACTGATTAATAGGACAGTTTCAATAATTAATACATTGTGTATTGTTATCTTCTTAGTGGTTATCCATAGTACAAGAAACAGACACGATAGCCTGTCCAAACACTATTAGTACAAATCTTCCTTCTCATTGAATTCAGTGAAAGTAGCTGTATATCAATCCTAATTATTCTGTATATACAAATACAAAATGGTCCTTCCTTTGTATCCCTTTTTTTTGTTTAGTCCTGTCAGAAGATGGGTATTCCATTGGTATCTAAATACTATAGGTGTGTGAATTCAGCAAAACAATCCAACACAGTCCAGCAGTCCACAATAGTAGTGGGTTATCCGCAGAAGTTGTTGACTTGAGCCTCTCACAGCTTAGCATATTAATATGGCTTTACTTTATATACTTTGTTTATATACTTTTCTGCTGGATGGTTAAACCAAGATAAAGCAAGACCTATATAACAAGAAATGTAACTTTTGTATCTGATAAGGTCAGTCAAGTACCCTCAGGATTTATCCTGTAACCCTGCACCACAGTTTGTAGATCCTTTGTCAGTGTCAGCCATGTGGATGAGTCACGGCCATTGCTTGACCAATTTGCTCTCTGTGAAAGCCTGAGAGAATGTTTTCTCTCCAGGTGACTCTCCTTAGGCACACTCTACATTATTGATCATTTTCCTCTGTGGCCCCCATAATCTCCTTCATCAGAAAAATTGGGACACAACTGAGTTACATGATGTTATAGTATAGGTTCTCCTATGTCCTGAGTCTTCACTGACCTTGAAAGGTTAGGCTGCTGGGGTTTTTTGGGTTTTTTTTTTTTTTTTTGGAACTTGGGGTTAAACTCAGGCCCTTGTGCTTGCTAGGCAAGTACTTATTCCACTGAGCCATCTCCCCAGCCCCTCCACCTCTCCTTTAAAGTGCTGGAGTTGGGTTTTGTGTCCCAGCCAGGAAAAAACTGACCAGTATAGTAACTTACTTCAAAAATTGTCTCCCCCTAAATATGCTTTAGGGAGGAGGATAAAATGATCTTTTATGCTTTTCACAAAATGTGTAACAGAGGCCACTGTCTTAATATAAAAGTTGGCAGTAGTTTTCATTGGAAGAACCTTCCCATTTGTTGTTAAGACTTTCAACAGGACTGCTATTGTTTCTGCCTATGCAGGAATACAGAAAAGGTGTTCATGTCAAGGTAAAGTCCTGTACAGGCAAAATATTGCCTCTTGTATCATCAGCATCCTTGGGTTCCTCCACAATTATGCTCCAAGAGTCAAGACTGAATCAGAAGTTATAAAAACCAGTAGTCTAATGTCTCCGACTCCCAGAGTCCTGCTGTTTATTAGTGCTCTCTCTTACACACTCTGTTACCTAAATCCTCCAGTGGGACTGGGGGATCCCTGCTGGTCCCTTAGGCACCAGTGTGGGACGAGACACTTGGTTCTGTTTGTTTTCCTGAGGTGCCCTTAACTTCACATATGTGTACATTAATCAGGTATCTGACATTTTTACAGATAGAACATTGTTTTTAAAAGAGATAACAGAAATAGTGTGAACCAGACATAAGCAATTACAGTAGAATTTATGATGACACAACCAATAAATACTACTTTTAGTGATATAGGGATTATTATATTTAAATCACACAAAACATGAAATTTTTGTCTCTTGAAACTCAAGTAATCTGAATGGAGCTGGTGTCTAACGGAACAGGACTGCGTGGGGAATGGTACTTCTCATTTATTCTGCACAAAAGAACCTCCACAAAGTAGTTCAAATGGATATGGGCCTCTTCCTCTCGCTTGGACCGGAATCACCATGAATGGAGTGACGGGGCATCTTGGCCACTTCTGATAAGCAGCTTTCAAAGGAGGCTTAGAAAATGACCAACAATGGGTGCAATTTGATCCTTCTTTTCACCCCAGCACCTCCGTACTGCATGAAGACCACTGTCTCAAGGCTTTTCTCTCCTAACAGGCCTGAGTTTTAATTTTCCAGTGTGTATCAGCTCCCTGGACAAGCACCTCCCAATGAAGGATCTTGGTATGAAGGAGGTTAAAGCAACGCTTGAAAGAGGCACTTTCGAAAACAACTTCTTTTGAAAGCAAGACAAAGCGAGACCATAGCTAGGGGTTGACTGCCCGGCTAGCGCTGCAGTATGTTGGGGTCCTGCACAGTGACCACCCTGGCAGGATGCTCCCCTGGCTGACTATCTAAGGCGAGTTCTCCAATACTAAAAAGTTCTGTCTAAAGAGAAATTTCGGTCTCCTATCTTCTCCATTAAAAAAAAAAATCAAATGAAATAACTAGATATAAGTAAAAATCAAATAAAACACTTTTTTACTTGTGAAACAGTGCAATCTGTTGGCTCTACTACGGCGTTAGTTTTCGTCTATAAAGAGTGTAATTGAGCACACTCTATCAGCGTAAACGTGCCATGAGGGCTGCTCGGGACAGGCCCCCAGCAGATGACCTCACAGGGTGTTCCTCACTGTGGAGGAAAGTGTATCCGTAAGGACTGTGACAGCCCCGAGCTAGCCCCTCAGGGTCCCCGTGCCACACCGGGGTTTAGGGTCAGCACCAGCTCTCAGCATGAGTCTGCCCGTGTGTCCCCGGCCCCTGCCTCCTCAGCCGCCCCGCACTGCACCCCGCAGCTTCCTCTGGTGCCCGAGGCCTCTCATCAGCTACGATGACAAGGGCAGAAGTGCTGCCCTCGAAGCTGGCCACACCCCTCCCAGGTGCAAACCCTGGCGACAGAGATGAGTGCAGAGGCCCCAGCGCCCGCCCGAGGGAGCCGCACACTGACCTCTTCCGGCAGGAGGGGTTCGATCATGGGCGCGTCCTCCTGCCTGGCTGCCAGTCGCACCGGGGACGTAGACAGCCTCTTCTCCCACTCATTCGTGACGGCTGTCTCTGTGGAGGTCTCTAAAAACGTTCTTTTCAGCTCACTAATGTTTGTTTGATGTTTCATTAGTTCATCTTGAGTTTTGTCTAGCTCCTATGTTGAGAACATAAAGAATTCAGCAGTCAGCTTTGGCATTTGTTTGGCTTTTGCTTGTTTCCTTTTAATGTCTATCTCATTAGTAATCAAAGGAAAACAGAATTTTGTTCAGGGCTCATGACACGACCACAAACACTCTGGTGAAAATGTGCTGTTTCCAGGGAAAAGAGAGAGAGAAAAAAAGTCTAGTTTCACACAGGGATACAAATCAAAAGGGTTTTATAAGGCAAACAGTAAGAAGAGTGGTTCACGAGCACCCAGAGAGGATGGGAATCAACACACAGAGGAAAGGGACGTACATGTAGAGGAGAGACCACAGGCAGCGTCAAGGCCGCCCGTCAGCACAGGCGGGCGCGCGGCTCATGCACTACACCAGCAGGAGGTACAGGGGGCGCCACGAGGGAACATGGCACACGGCATGCACTGTGAGCACCAATACCAACCTCTAACATAAGGTTACTATGTTTGACATACACATTTTCACCCTTTATGCGCTTAATCAGACTATTCTGAAAGAAGTGGAGAAGAAAGGGAAAGGTAAGGGCCACCGTCATCAGGGGACCGAATGCCGTCCTACACTCCACACTGGACGCGGCGCCAGGACAGAGCATGCCGAGGGGCTGACACCGCAGACAAGGGCTCGCCACGCACTGGGGTGGGGCTCTGCTCTACTCATAATTGTCTACCTGTGCCTTGGGCTCTGCATCTTCCTCCTGGTCCGACTGCCAGCATCAAGAAAGAGCGGGAGATAAAGTCTTAGCTTGCAGTTTACGCTAAGTTAGAAGAGCGTTGGGCTCTACCGCCAGCTGGTCTCATGCGAGTCAGGGAGCTTCACTGGGCCGGCGGGGTAAGGGCCCTTGCTCAGTGTGTCATGGGTGCAGGCTGGGGAAGGGGGCACGGAGGGCTTGCCAAGTCCACCTTCCCGAGTGCCCGCGGTGGCTCTGGACCGCTGCTGAGAACCGCGGCCATTACGCAGCAGTGGCAGCGCCCTCCGAATGAATAAATTGCCACAAAAGTCCTGTGGGCTCAGCTAGGACAGTCTGGGGTGTGAGCCAGTGGCCCCAGCCTCAAAGTACTGAACACAGGTGTGCTCGCATTTTAAAATTTCTTTGGAACCCCACTTTTCGAACTGATATACTCAACAAATTTCAGAGGGAAAAAGACCGATGTAGTTTAGTAAAGAAGATTAAAAAAAGAAAGCAGTGGTCTACAACCACACATAACGGGCTTTTCTTAAAACATGAGAACAGGGCAGCTTTCGAGTTTTAAAGATACACACACACACACACACACACACACACACACACACACGCAAAACAAGCAAAACCCAAAACCCTCCCAAAGCCACATGATTAACCTTAGTTGTCTAAGTTTAAGAACCTCGGGCCAGGGAAATAGCTTAGTAGGGTAAGTGCCTGCCTGGCTAGCACAGGGGCCTGAGTTCGACACCCAGCACCGCAAAAGAAAAAAGAAAAAAGAAAAAGAAAAAAAAAAAAACAAAAAAAAAAACATGCTTATAAGTTTAAGAACCTATGCAATCTGTGGGGACCTGCAGTGATGTCAGTCTACCCAGTCTCAGCTTCCTCATCTGCCTGTGGGGACAATGACACTCAGCACACCTGCGGTTCTGAGGCCAGCACGGCATGTGCAACTGGGCATTGCATCCGGGTCCTTGCGCTTGCCAGGCAGGTGCTTTGACCGCAGTGCTATGTCCCAGCTCAAGACGCATTTTTTTTTTTTCTGAAAACGTTTTCAATGGCCAGTCAAATAGCTCCACGGATTAAAGCACCTGCAAGCAGGCGCAGGGACCGGGGGTTCGATCCCCAGGCCTGCTGTGCCGGCTCCACCCCCAGGGCATGCTGAGATGGCAATTGAGACTGGGTGTGATGGCACATGCCTATAATCCCAGCTCTTGGGAGGCTGTAAACAGGCGGATCACTACAAATCCAATCTAGTAGTGAGAACCTGAACACTCTGTAGACCCTTCCCTAAAATAAAAAAAAATTTTCAATGAAATGATGCATAATAACACAGAAGTTTTAGCTCCTGAATATCCAACTAGGAGATATGGTTATGATTGGATAAGATAAAAAAATAGCGTACTATCTAGAGTTTACCACAAAATAAAAACTAAATTTGACCGTCACGGTGGGAAACAGACATCTCAGCCTCTATTACTATGCCTAAGATTCATTTTTACAGAAATTTTAGTTAGATACTGATAGATTTTAAACATAAGATATACATTTAGAGTTTCTTAAAGAATGAATAAAACAGAAGTGCAGCACAGTATCTCTCTTGTTCAATGTGCTTATACTTTTTCAGTAAGCTATGAACAGCAGTCTGTGGATTTTTTAAAAAAATGTATTTAGTACAGGGTCTACAGGGTCTCACTACACAGATCGGACTCGTAGTGATCCTTCTGTTTTCAGTCTCCCAAGCACTGGAATTAGAGGTGTGCACCACCACGCTCAGACTCCGTCCTGTTTCAGCGTGCCCCAGGGGCGGGGTCAGCACGGCACACCAGGGACTGAACCCCAGTCGCTGAGCCTGCCTAGGCACTTTAGTGTGCTGAGCTATCTGGCTGGCCCTGTGAATTTTCTTAGAGAATTCATTTATGACTGAGTTAGGCAATGGATAAAGGCTATGAAATAGGTTAAGAAAGTTACTCTTTTGGCAAGTATTATTTGGCCATTTGGGACCATCTTGCCAATAAGCTAACTAAAGGGACACCCTCGCTCCATCGAGGTTTTATATATAAACAGCCTTCCCATGAGCAGCATGATCTTTCCTTGAACAGTAGCATCAGTCTGTAGTTCCCAGAATGTAGCCTCCCAGATGATCAGAGTCAGGACCACTAGAAAGCTTGTTAGAAATGAACATTCTCTGGGCTAGTGAGATAGCTTAGCAATCTAACGTATCTGCTTAGGCAAGTTTAGGCAACTGCAGGGACCGTGGCTCAATCCCCAGCACCAAATGCCATGCCAGCCCTGCCCCCAAGGCAGGCTAAGCCAGCCACAAAGAAAGAAAGAAAGAAAGAAAGAAAGAAAGAAAGAAAGAAAGAAAGAAAGAAAGAAAGAGACATTCTCAAGCCCTGTCCAACCCTTCTCAATGAGACTTGCAGGGCGGGAGCCTTTCTGGAGAGTCTGTCACAAGCCAGAGCTTGGGGACCAAGGTCCAGGCTGTGCACACACATTGAATGCCTGCTGGGAAATTCAGGGCTGTCCCCATGGCAGGGTCCATGTGCATCACTCAGGTATAGGGCTGCCTGTGAGGCCCTGTGCCCAGGCCACTAGGAGCTGGGCTCAGCCATACCCACCTCAGTGGCGGTGGTCTCGCCGTCAGCCGCGGTATCTGTGCGCTCACTGTCCGTCTGTGCACCACACAAGTGGTCAGGGTCCAGGAGGAAGGCAGGGACAGAAAAGAAACCCATGTGGTCAGATAGGTTCTGCATGTATGAAACATTCATTCTTTGCCTGTGGGACCTGCAGCACACAACCTCCCTCAGGGACACACGTTCCAGCCAAGCAAGGGAAGAGCCAGAGCTGGTGTGGGCCATGGAGCCCCTCCCAGGAGCTCCAGAGGGCGCCAGGCCTCCAGGGCTGCAGGGAGGGACTGACTGCATGGGCCACCCTGGGCTGCCTGGACGCCACTCTGTCACACCTCGTCCACCCTGGCCTGACACCGAGAAAGCTCGTCTAGTAAAGCCTAACACATGTGAAATTGAGGTTGGTCCGTGGGTTTCATTCTAGTCACATTTGAAAGGTAAAAGAGAATACAAATTTCCATGAAAGGCTACCGTAACAGTCACTGGACTTTCAGCCCCTCATTTACATCACTGGGCTAATGTGCATCCATTTCTGACCACCAGGCTGTCTGCATTACCTGTGAAGGACGAAAAGCACATGCCAGCGACTCACAGACGTGCGCTGTACGTGTGGGAAAGGCCTAATCCGCTTTCAAGGAGCGCGGCCGGCAGCAGCTTTGAAGACTGAGCACTGTTTACCTTGCCCCCCTCCGGGGTGCAGAGGGTGGTCAGAGTGTGTACGCGCGCCTTGCAGTGCACGGATGCCAAGGTGCGGCTCGAGAGGAGCAGTGGTAGTGGAGAAGACACGGCGGGGTGGGGATGACATCTACTGAGACAATAAAACAAAGCACAGCACTCGGCAGCCTGGAGTTCAGGGGAGAAGCAGAAGAGCAATTTCATGATTTAAAAAACACCTCTTTCAAAGGGGTTTGTGGTTAAAAAATCTCTCCTCTTGAGTAAGACTGTGGACTCTGACACTGAAATATAATCTAAGGGCCTTAAGTGTTAGCTGACTTTCCCTTTATAATGTTAACCAATTAGAGTATGATTCCCTTGATTGCAGATTTGTGAAATATATTATATATATATATATATATATATATATATATATATGTATTTTTTTTCAGTATTGGGGATTGAACCCATGGCCTTAGCACTAAGCTGTGTCCCAAGGCCTTTTTTATTTTTTAAATTTTGAGACAGGTTTTCACTAAGTCATTAAACTGCTCAGGCTGCGCTCAAACTTGCATCTTCCTGCCTCAGCCTCCCCGAGTGTTAGGGTTACATCCGTGTGCCACCACTGCCAACTTCATGATTAATATTTTGGAAACAAAAATAGGAACTGAAAGCTCTATAGCTGTCTGTCTGTCTCTTAAAATCATGTCTTTGTGACAACCACCTCAGTGAACAATGGGTCAGGGAGTGGCTGTTTGGCTCCCTGTGTGGCTGTCACTGCCCTGGTGCGAGCGCAACTCTGCCGCCTGGCACTGCCTTTATGGCATGGGGTAGGGGGAGAAGCCCTGGCACAGCCTGACCCTGCTTAGTGCCCTCACTGGTTCTATCAGCGACACCCAAGGTTCTCGAAGGGTACGGTCTTCCTTTGTCAATCATAACCCTTATTAACACTGAAAATTCATCTCAGTAGCTTTCCAACATCTTGGCTCTGGAGTTTAGGTGTAGATAAGAGGGATGGGTCTGATGTCAGACCAACGTGTGCTTGCCCACTGAGCCCACGACATGCTGGGCACATTCGATACTAAAATCTGTGTCCTTTTTTGGTAAATGGGGACTACCACAGCCTTAACTCTCTTAGGTAATGGATACTAAATGTTTTATAGAAGGCCTGATGTATATAAAGCTAAACGTTGCTTATAATTACCTGAATCTGTTCATACTTACATATCTACCTAATCAAGACTATATAATTGTCCTAGCCATACTCAAAAACTTTGGCTGTATCCAAACTCCCTCAAAGCTGGCATGGTGACATGCACCGGATATCCAAGTGACTGGGGCGGTTCAGGCAGGAGGGCCATGAGTTTAAGGTGATCTTGGAAAAGAGACCCTTGTCTCAAAAACAAATCTTCTCTAGACTGCCTGAATTTCCTATTTAACATCAGTCAGCAAGTGTAATGTCTGATGAATAATCAATAGGTGAAGTAATAAAAGCTGAATAAAGCAGCTTTGTATAGCAACTGTTATTTATATAATGCACTATGATTACCCAAACTGCAAAGCAATAGCCTGCCACAAGCTATCCCATAATATGATGTTCATATCATTTTAATCCATTATTCTTTTTATCCAGATTGAACTGGTCTTCTTTTCTCATATTATTAAAAAATCACACTGAAATCCACATGTGATTACATTCTAAGCTATTGGTGAGCTAACTTTGTGTTTCCCTGTAAATGATTCGGTGCTCTGCTCCTCATTTGGCTGTTCTGAAAGCATAAAAGGAAACAAAGATGGCCCAGTTACTGCTTGAAATGATTCAGCCTCTCTGCACCGGGATCTCACTCTGAAGAAAGCGTAGGACTGATTGAGCCACTAGAACACATAACAAATTTGCCATCATTTAATAATTTACCATCATTAGTGATTTTGCAAAATGAAAGTGACAGAGATGAACTGTCTATTATAGAGTCACCCACTTTAGCTGCCAAAATGCTGGAGGCTTCGGGAATAAAACCAGCCATGTAAGCCAATGGCAGTTTTTTAAAAAACACGGAATGACCTAGATATGAGTTTTGTTGAGCTTGGGCTGAACGATAAGCACAGCCCTGAACCTGCAGGATCAGGAGTCGGCGGTAAGCAGCCAGCCAACAACCACATCCGGTGTCAGAGGAGCTGGGGCTGCTGGGCAAGGCCACGGCCGTGGGCTGCGGGCCTGGGCTCCCAGTGCGCAGGGACCAGCACAGGCAGGGCCGGAGCTCCTGTTCGCCTCCACTAGCACACAATGAGAGCTGCTGTGATTTGTTTTGCGGAGGTAATGCAGACATGCCTGAGGTGGACGTTGACGCTCATGCACCCAGAACAACGGGAGGCACACCCTGGATTAGGCACAAGATCTGTGTGGCTGGCGGCAGGAGGGCCTGGCTGCTCAGAGCTGAGGTGAGCCCTTGGAGTTCTGGCTTTCTGTTAGCTGGAAGGGAAGCCCCCTCCCAAAGGAACAGCAGACCCGCAGGTTGGACATCTGCTGCGTATTATTACAAGCAGTCTGTGTGGCTGATGCTGGGCTCCGAGCTCTACCCCGTTCAGGTCTACCATCATGAGCAGCCCTGTCATGGGGAGAAACAGTGGCACTCTAGTCGAAGGCTTAAATTAGTTGGCAAAATATTACATAGGTATAAAGATTATCTGTGTGTGTGTATGTATCTGTTTGAGTTAACAGTCACATGTAATCCCAGAACTCGGAAAAGCATTCCTAACAACGCTGCACTACAACGGAACAGCCTGGGCCAGTGGCGGTGGACCTCAGGTGTGTGTCACAGCAGCACGCAGGGCCCTCGGTCTGCACGTGAGCCAAGTCGCCTGGCCTCGCCTAGCAGCTGAGCATCAGACAGCAGCGCACACAGGGGCAGTCGCAGCCATTTTGTGTCAAGTAAGTGGGCTTTGGGCTGCACTGTAGGCACTGCGTCTCTAAACGGGTCGCCACTACAGGCCTAGACTTTCATTCAAAACACACATGGAACAGGCACCTGCCCCCTTTTGTGGCACAGAAATGGTCCCAATAGCACGAATGCAGGCCCCTGAATGCCTTTGTGTTCTGCACTCACAGCTTAAATCGTCCCTTCTGAGCTGAGTGTGGGTGCGAACAGACTTTTTCTTAGTGCTGTCCTGACTTTCTGATATTTTTTCAATCCTAGAGTACTTGGCCCCTCCCTGCCTCCAAAATGCTTGCACATGGGAACAGGAGATGTGGGGGTGCCCGGGGGAAGGTGCGCGGGGAGGGGGCAGCACCTCCGGGGCAGTTGCTGCTCTTTTCCCCATGCTCTGTTTGAAATCCAGAGGAAAGGAGCCCTGCACTGCGCCCAGGGCTGCGGCTGGTGCTGAAGTGGGACGATCAGAGGTGAGGCAGTGTGAGCTCAGCTCACCCGGCTGCTGGGGCGAGGCAGGAGCAGGCAGCCTGCGATCCTGGGTTCCTGCCCTCTGATGCGCACCCTGGCCGAGGACCAGATGTCCTGCCAACTTCCCCATTACCACACTGCCAAAATGTGGTGTATTTTGGCTCCTGCTGGAACTGCAGTGTCACTGTCGTCTGACACGTCAGCAAGCACTGATGGGTCTGCAGTCTGTGTGCACAAAGTAGGCAAACCTTACGTGGACCTTTCCCTGGTCGTATGTGGGCACCACTGTACTGCCTTTGTCTCCTTCGGGTCCTGTGGCCACCCTACCTGTGACATATGGCACGTACATGTTTAAATGGCTGTGGACATCTGACCCCAACTTTCAGAGACTGCTGTCAGACATTCAGAGTCTCTAGAGAGGAGACACACTTGCCATCTGGGCCATCTGGGCCGGTGACCAGGACGTACACACGCACCCTCTGGCTCACGCGCGCGCGTGCTCGGGCCCTCCTCGCATCTCACCACATGCTATAAGACCATCACTGGGCAGAGCCTGTCCTCAGCCTGACCTTCCAGAGCTATGGAGCCTGTGAGGTTGAGCTCGGGGGCGGCTGTCAGCTCACAAAGAGCTCCGTGGGGTGGTGGAGGACTGGGGTTGGCCTCCTGCGGCGAGGTCCACAGGGTGTTTGTTGTGCCTAACCCCGGGCCTGGGTCGGGCTCCCCGCCACACACAACCTAAGCACGTTGGCACGAACATAAATGAGGTTCTGAAAGGAGGACCACTATGGCAGCAGCGGCTAACACTGCTCGGACTGCAGCACGGAACACGCAGGGGAGAGTGTTCTATGCCGAGGTACACACCTCTTCCTCTGAACTGTCACTCGGGTCATTGTCTAGGGAGGCGCTCAAGGAGGCCGCCTTAGGCTCCAGGTAGCAGAGGCACAGAGCCAGAGGGAAGGAGAGCGTGAGGGCGGATGGCACTGAGAAGGAGGCAGAGAGCAGGAAGAAGAAGATGAAGAGGAAGCAGGGCACAAGGGAGGGTGAGCGGATCGGGAGGTAATGCTGCAGGCTCTGGGGCAGGAGGTTGGTCTCGGACAGGTTGGGGAAGGAGAGGTACCCGTCGTCATCAAGCAGTGACGGGAAGCACCCCGGGAACTGCAAGGAGAAGGAGAACAGGGTGGCACCCTTGCCGGCCAGCTGCCTGCAGCGAAACAGCGCATCGGGGTGGCCCGAGCGCGCCCTCGCCTGGCCCTGGGCATCCACTGTAGGCTCGTCGGGCACGGGCTCTGCCTCGCAGCCTGCTGCTTTGTGCTCCTTCTCCTTACACCTCCTGCGGAGCTCTGGGGGGGAGGTGGGGTCGGAAGGGGCTGATGGGGGTAACAGAGGACATGAATCGGAGCCAAGCCAGGGTGACTGACAGGAGAGAGACAGGGAGAGACAGGAAGTGGCAGACAGAGGTGCAAAAGGACAAAAAGAAAACTGCGATTAGTTAATTTCCTTACGGGTATCCATACAAAAATCATAAAACAAGAAGTTCAGCCCAAGGGTAGCTGGTGAAGTTTAGAGGAGCCGAGCTGCGAGCCAGGGCCCTGTGGGTGGCCACAGCTCTCCCCGAGATGGCACCATCTCAAGCTTCTAAAGTGCAGCTTCTAAAGTCAGAGCAGAAGGCATTCGCGGGCCGTCCCGATGCCTACATGCTTCCCATGACCAAAAGCTTCACTGTGGACCCACAATGCTGAAAGCTTCAGGGCTCTGTGAGCAAGAGAGCTCTCCAATGAACTAAAACCAAGACTTTCAATAACCTTTTCCTGATCTCTAGGTAATAGAGCTGTTGTGATACTTCAACTAGATTAAAATGCAAAGGAAATCCAATTCAAATATTAATTTTTTAAAAATTCTAGCACTGTTCGTTTCCTTAGTTGTATCCATAAATGGTGGGTTCTCAAATCAAGTTTCTGGCCCCACTCCTATCAGACACACAGCCACAACAGAGAGAGTCAGTGCTGAGCATCTCGAGACCTCCGACTCCTCACCAAGAACTGCGCTTCCTTTTCTAACTTCTCTTTCAGTTTCTTCATCTAAGATGTTAAGAGGACTGTGAACCAAAAGAAGCACATTCACCATACTAACTGGCAGAGAGAACCTGTTTTCTTGTAACATGGGCTCTATGTGTCTCATCCAGGCAAGTAGGAGAGAGAGAGAGAGAGAGAATTTTCTAGCCTTCGGGTTTTTCCTGGCAGCTAAAGGGCCCGCTGACACCACTGCAGCTGCCCCACGCGCCCTGGTGAATTCGTTGAGCCTAGTTTCTCAGGGAGGCCTGGTGGTCTCGTCGCTCAGCGCCAGTTTCCTCTGCAGTTGGTGAAGGGGCTTCTGGCCACAAAGAGAAGCCAGCAAGCAGGATCCAGGCCAAGGCCCGGCCTGGAAAGCTCAAGACTGGGGTGCAGAGCCTCAAGATAATGAGACCTCTGCTGCCTGTGGCTGGCGGTGTGCCTCTGTGTGAGTGTGTGCGCTTTGCCTAGCAACCCGACAGCAGGGCAAGCACCCAGGCTGGCTGGTGACGGCTGCCCAATCCTGACTCGGAGAAGACAGGTAAATACAGCAAGAGAAGGAAAGGAAATGCACCCATGAAATCACCCCCGGGGCACGAGGGCAGCGACACACACAGGCGAGAGTGCATCCAGTCCGTGTCAGCTCGGGCGCATCTACTTCCCCATGGGCTCCTGTTAGAACTCTGAACAGAACCTGCATGACTCTCTGGCGGGCACGAGCCCCCCTCTGCGGGATGACAACTGGGCTCTGGCTGCCTAGACCTGCGGAATCATGGGTGAGCTTGGGGCCACTGTCTTCGCAGCTATTGGCAGTAATGCATTTTAATTTTGATTAAAAAAGTAATCTCTGGGTTACTTTTTGAAGATGGAAAACAATGAAGTTAAAGGTGGCACTTCTGTGCTACTTATTACAGTGCCTTTTAAAGTCAGCTGGCTCCAGAGCTAATAAACAAGGCCAGCAGGCACCTCAGGTCCCAGGTCCTGCTCCGCCTTCCTGAAGAATCACGCGCCAAGTGCCAGCTCCTCCCCTGCAGGCGCCAGGGGCCTCGCGCTCTTCGTCTCTTTGTTTTCCCACAGTATACATGGCATAGAGCGAGGGCATGCGAGGGCGCTCCCTGGATCCTATATGGCAGCCTTTTCAAACCAAAGAAAGAGCTGGACCTGGACCTAGTTGGAGGACAAAGTAGAAGTCATGTGCTTCTGCTTGTCGCTTCAGTGTGCGCCACTGTGAATCATCAGCTGGTCTGGGCAACCTCAGGCAATCCTGCAGTGACCACGCGGGCACGCGTGTGCATTTCAGCTGTGCTGCCTTCCTTTCACGACCCAGTTAAAACTGGCCCTTGGCTGGACGGACAGGGAGAAGGGATGCTCCAGGCTTAGAGCAAAGCACATTCAAGCAGCAAGGGACCCAAATATCCCTGCCGCCGTCTCTTCCGGCCCTGTGCTTCATTCTTGTGTTTGGCAAGTAAAGGAGCTTTCAAAAAAGTAAAAATTAAAAAAGATAATGCATTGAGTCACTTGCAATACTGTAATGTAACTACAAAAATTATTTGTTAATCTGTCCTGTTAAAATTCCAATGCTAAATTCTTTTTTTCTTTATGCATTTGGCACAGGATCTCCCTAAACAGGTTGGATTCATAGTGATTCTCCTTTTTTCAGCCTCCCTAGCGCTGAGATTACAAGTGTGTGCCACCATGCCTGGGGGACTGGGCCAGTGTGGCAGGTGGTGCCAGGGGATCGAACACTGGTCCCTGCAACTGCACAAGCAGGTGCTTATTTCACTGAGCTATCTTACCAGCCTTCCAATTTTAAATTCTTAGAGGAATATTTTCCTATGGAAGCCTGAGTGGTGATTCTCTTTCATATATGTGTATCTTTCTTT